TTACCACACACATGAGAGTCCACACAGGAGACAAACCATTTCCTTGTGATGTTTGTGGACAAAGATTTAGAGCCGAGTCAAATTTAAACAAACACATGAGAGTCCACACAGGAGACAAACCATTTCCTTGTGATGTTTGTGGACAAACATTTAGACAAAAGTCAAATTTAAACACACACATGAGAGTCCACACAGGAGACAAACCATTTCCTTGTGATGTTTGTGGACAAACATTTAGACAAAAGTCAAATTTAAACACACACATGAGAGTCCACACAGGAGACAAACCATTTCCTTGTGATGTTTGTGGACAAAGATTTTGCCAAAAGTCTAATTTAAAGACACACATGAGAGTCCACACAGGAGACAAACCATTTCCTTGTGATGTTTGTGGACAAAGATTTTGGCAAAAGGCACATTTAAAGATCCACTTGAGAGTCCACACAGGAGACAAACCATTTCCTTGTGATGTTTGTGGACAAAGATTTTGCCAAAAGTCTAATTTAAAGACACACATGAGAGTCCACACAGGAGACAAACCATTTCCTTGTGATGTTTGTGGACAAAAATTTAGTCAACAGTCAAATTTAAAGACACACATGAGAGTCCACACAGGAGACAAACCATTTCCTTGTGATGTTTGTGGACAAAGATTTAGTCAAAAGACGAATTTACACAAACACATGAGAGTCCACACAGGAGACAAACCATTTCCTTGTGATGTTTGTGGACAAAGATTTCGCCAAAAGTCAACTTTAAAGACACACATGAGAGTCCACACAGGAGACAAACCATTTCCTTGCGAAGTTTGTGGACAAAGATTTAACCAAAAGTCAAATTTAAACTCACACATGAGAATCCACACAACAGAGAAATCAGCTTCACTGTAAATAATAAAACAGCTCATGCATGAGGTCCCACAGGAGTTATATGGAGGACTGAAACTGACATACCGGTAATTAGAAAAAGCAAGAATACATAAAATAACAAACAAATGACTAATGAGCATTAAACTCCACCAATTAAAAAAAGGAGAACTTCACCTGATATCTTATTAGGGGTGTTCCAATCCGATATTAATATTGGATATCGGTCCGATATCAGCCAGAAAAAACAATTATCGGATTTTATCGGCCAGAATCTAAAATCGCAGATAAATAAGCACTCTGATAGAAGCAGTCTCTTCCACCAGTCCACTCCATTATTTTTATCCAGCAGTGCTTGGATCCAGCACGCAGAGCCCACGTGATCACAACATGCTGCGCTAACAAAGTACCAAGAAGTAGAAGCGATGTCGGCAGTACTTTCTATTTTCATCAAAAACAGCATTGCAGCTAAGTGCAAAATTGTCATGCACAAGTTTTCTGTAGGGGCACAGAACCGTGTACGTTTTAAACCAGAGAGACCACCAGGCTCTGCTCTCCACCCTGGCAGCAGCTTTGCGGTTCGGCCTCGGTCCAGTTTGTCTCCATGGTTCCAACCGCTCACAGCCGCGCTGTTTCAGAACCTCCTCTCCGCTGGTTCTAAGTGGGCAGAAGCAAGTACAGCAAGCTTCCGAATGTGACATCAGCAGAATGCTGCCCGTAGATTAGCTCTGGGGTTGATTGACAGAAGAAAGGAGAGCGCAGCTTTTGTTTTGGAATACGAGCGTGCAGTGCTAAAGAGAGGCTAATCTCCACATGATGCTCAGACTGTAGAAAGTGGAAATGCAGCACTAGGAAAGGTAGCTATCAATTTAATTCACTGACTAATTCTTACTATTAAATCTTTGCTCTTTTTATTTGAGTGATGTTGAATCTATTTACACACTTGTTTTAGTGAAGATTGTGGAATGAACATGTTGTTTTGGGTACGGTCAATAAAATTGGAGCTGTGGACTCTTAACTTTGAACAGTTAGACATTGGACAATAATGTGGGGTTTTGTTTTGTCCCCACCTTCAGTTATTCCCACCATAAAGCAGCACCAGGCTGACAGATAGTAAAAAAAAATAACTGGAGTGATTTTGAATTGTTATTTTACACTTCAAAAGTACAGTTTGTTTTTATTATGTTTTATTTTTCAAGGTCTTCTAATTTATTTTATTAAATTGTAGATAGTTCTTTAGTTTAAAATGTATGTGATCCATTGGTTAAAAATAAACGGAACATCGATTTTCTGCGCAGTGTCTTCTTGTAGTTTATTTTACCTGGGCCAATCAGCAAACAGAAGGCGGAGTTTTGAACRATGTCGATTTTCTGCACAGTGGCTGCTAGTTATTTTAGCATACGGCAGTGGAGGAAGTGAATGAAGCCAGTCTGTTGATAAGGCTTCCAAATTAAAATAAATTTGTCTGACAAAGCAGCAGCTCAAATTTACAGCTATCTCGTTCTGCTCGGTATATTTCTCCTCTCAGTAGGGTTGTTTACAGCGCACGCGATTTCCCATTAGCTTCTTAGCTTAGCCTCCTTCACAGCGACAACACACTCATGCTTCAGCAGAGGCCACGCCTCCTGCAAGAATCACTACTCTATGCAGCAAATCCAGACCCTTGTTCTGGTTTTAACGAGGCTACAAAATAGGTAAACGTGTGTGATTCATACTGATATGGTATCGGTCAATATCGGTATCTGCCAATTCTCAAAGTTGCAATATCGGTATCGTACCGGAAGTGAAAAATTTGTATCAGGACACCCCTAGTTCTTATAATTTGACCATTTATTTTCCAGCGTAGTTCCTAGAAATTTAATATTTTAAC